TCCAGGGTGTACCCCTCCTCTCGCCAATAGACAGCTGGAGATAGGCACCATCAGAAAATGGGTGGATGGATGGATGGATATGATGGATATGACTACCAAAGACACATTCATTTCCACTATGCAGTCTTAAACCAAAGACCAAAGTCCATAGGCTGGGACTATCGTAAACAGACCCACAAACTTGTTTGTTTACGATAAGATTTCCTTTTGAATTGTTAATTGTTCTTTATATTTTTCACAAGTAAATTGGATGTACTGGGTAAATGAAATTGGTAAAATCTTAGCTTGTCCATCTGATTGAGCAGATGGTTTGAACCTCTTGCATTTAGAGCTCTGACTGCTTATGTTGCAATAAGGGTGTGAACTTTTAATACCAAATTGGCTTCATAAATAAGATGTATTTTTATCAGAAAGCTGTCCACCACATTTGTAACATTATGTCTTGCATATGTAGCTATAGGCTCATTTGGCCAGGTTAAACTCTGGATTACTTTTTACTATAATACTTCTATTATCATCATAGTAGGCCTATGGGGGAACAGACTTGCATCAGACTACATGTATAATGACTGGCTTATTCCTATTTCTTTTTTTAATTTTGTGACATTCTTAAACATTCATCATACTCCATCTGTGTGTAGTAATGTGTTCCTAATAGCAAAATTGGGGCACATTCATGCCATCACTATAATGTGGTATTCATTACCATGGTTAGCTGTTAGCTGCAGCAGCTAGACTCTGTTGCATGTTTTGATCCAGACATTGCAGAACAAACTGGTACAAAATGATGGACTTCTTGTTTTTAGCAAGATCTCTGTAGTGAAACTGATGTCATGTTGCTTGGGTGTAACAACTATCCCTTAGGGATGTTTGCAGTCTTTTTGTGATATCCAGAAATTACCATTGCCATGGTTATTTGGACATGTGGTGGGTTCCCTACTCGGTATTTATACTGATCTGTACCCGGTGGGTGAAAAATGGATGTGATGCCATCAGTTCCACCCAAAATGGGATGTATGAAGACAAAATATCCAGTAGCAAGTGTACGCTAATTTTAAACACCCAGAATTTGTGCAATGCAAGTTTTCTTTAAATTCTTGCTACTGCTCACTTTTAGTATGAAAACCTTATCTTTATATTTGAGGCCGCTGGGGTGAAACTTTGCAACATGATCTCTTTGAAATCTTAACAAATGACTTTAATCAACATATAAAATGTTTTGAACTCCACAGATGCTTAAAGTACACCTCCATGCTTTAATTTATTATTTCCTTAATTCCTAGATGATTGGATCAATGAATTTGAATGTATGCCAAAGGGGGAAAAAGTGACTGTATTCCAATGTTTCAAAAAAATAAATAAATAAAATACTACAAAGTCACATGTTAATATTTATAGTTGACTGAAAATATGAGCCTTAGAAATGTTGTTAACACAATTCTTGGGATTTACAATTAATCTGAAATGTTTTCCTCTTTCACTAAAAAAATAATCAATTGATTTGCTGTAGATTTATATTTGACTCAGATCCTTGCAGCAGATAGGTGCTAACAATCCAAAATCAGCTTCATCTTGATGGATGCTTCATTGAATACAAATAAATGAAACTTTAGAGAAGGATCCTGAAAAAACTGGAGCAATTTAATTGCGGCATGTTTTTTTGCACTAAGCATCATTTTTCCATTGATGCACAGAACTATTTTATGCAACAGTGATGCAACAGTTGTTTAGCATCAATTACATCTTTATCTAAGAGACATGATGCATTTTTTTGTTAACTTGAAATATTACTTGTGTTTGTGCTTTTTTCTTTTTTTTTTTGCACCCTAAGGCTTGATTCATGATGATGGGAAACATCATCATGAATCAAGAAGAGTTAAACAGGCCACACAAAATGCAGGGAGGGAGTATAGTTTCCTTTATGGAGAGTAGAAGTTGTACTGCTGGGAAAGAAAGACATGCACTAAAATAAGACTTGACAAACAAAAATATCATCACCAAATGAAACGCAGCACAATAACTATCTGATCGGTTCAGATTTATATATCAGATTATTATTCCATAGATATAAATTCTATTTTATCCCAAAACGGTTCTTTAATACTTTTTTTTTTTTTTTTTTAACCATGTGTTTTTTGGAACTTTGATTAGAGTTTAATATTTGGGTATCAAACCTTCCCCTTCAGGTTCTCCATCCTCAGCAGCAAAAAGGGATTTTGAGGCCTCCGGTGACTTTACCAACCACCCCCATGATGGCTCTAAGGAATCAGACCCCTGGTCGCATCGTGTTGGGACAGCAGCAAGTTCAGCTTAAAGAGCTGCAACCAGGTGAGAGTTAGTCCTTAAGCCCATGTCTAAAATTGGATGTTTAGGCACCTTTTTTTTTTTAGTTTGATGTAAAGCATTATAATGGCTTTTATTATAAATTGTTTCATAGATAAAGTTGGTGTAGTGTGGTGCTTCTTCTCTCCTGCATTCAGATAGTTATTCTGTGATTTTTGTTTTATCCTGGCAGTTCCACTGAGACCAGAGGTGGCTCTTGTTCCTAAACACGTGTCTGCTGTTGCTTTGACACAGGCACAGAAGAATAAGCTAAAAGAGGCGGGTGGCACTTTCAAGTAAGATTGATTCTCTTTTTGCACTTTTTTTTTATAAAGCTTATGGATTTACCCAAAGGCAACACTGATCAATCTTTCTCAGATTTCTTAATTTTGGGTGATTAAAACTTGCCTTCTCTACCTCAGCCACTCAATATTGTAGAGGTTTGAATGATAAATGTTTACATGAATTTTTACAGATGCCTTCATTTCCCTTGAATTCCAGTCTCCAGCCTTGCATGCCACAGTTTAATATCAATATATACGTAGCTCGTTCTGCTTCTGTATACACAGGGATGATGACGACATCAACGACGTGGCCTCCATGGCGGGAGTAAACCTATCAGAGGAGAGTGCTAATATCCTGGCTTCTAACTCTGGACTTGTTGGTGCTGTGACACATTCCTGTAAGGATGAGGCTTTTCTCTCCTGTGCCACACTGCAGAGGAGGATGCTAGAGATAGGTGAGACTCCATGCTTCATAACCTAATAATGAACCCATTGGTGAGGCTCCTACCATACAGTTTGTTTTTGTTCCAGGTATGAGATATGGAGTAACAGAGCTGGGAGCAGAGGTGGTAAATTACATCTCCCACGCTACTCAGCAGCGACTCCTGAACTTACTTGAAAAGGTCTCTATAGTAGCCCAGCAGAGAAACGTCAACTTCAAGGTTTGTTGATGAAATAGAGGATTTTTTAAACATGGGGCTGAGGGTTAATCAATTTTATGGATGCATCACATTTTCTGTTTATGAAGATTTTCTTTTGGGGAAATCTTTGTGTTTTTTCTCACCATTGTTTCCCATAGGGTACCATAGCTCAAAGTGACATCAGTTCATCACTTTTTGTTATTAGGTTTCTACTCATGACTGATAAACTAGATCATTGTGTCATGCCACAAGCTGCACACATAAAGTCTTATATTTTTATTGCTTTATAAGCATGTTTAGTAGCTTGAATTTTGTTGTCCTTAATTAAGGAAACTGCCTGTAGGGGATGATTGAAATAAAAGTAAGTCTTTATAAGTAGTGTATGTCATTTGTAAGTTTTATCATAAATATAATGGTTAAAAAAAGAATAATTCAATTTGGTTGAAAAAAAAAATTATGATTTGGTTTGTAAGCCACATCTCTGAGCCCTACCTAAATGAATCCATTCAGCATTTACTTGTATAAGCAGTTGATGTGGAATAATATGTCAAAACCAATTTAACAGGAGGACGAGCGCTATGAGCAGAGCAGTGATGTTCGAGCCCAGCTGAAGTTCTTGGAGCAGCTGGACCAACTGGAGAAGCAGAGAAAGGAGGAGCAGGAGAGGGAGATCCTGCTGAAGGCAGCTAAGGTACGTCACTATATTAAACTCTGAATAGTGAAACCTGTTGCTTTCTTCATGTAGCTTATCCCCCATTTGTTATTGTTTTTTCCATAAGTAACATTTCCGTGTTAAACATAAACGGCTAACTTAACTGTTTTGCCCATAGCTAATGTTTATTCCCTCTGCAGCTTCACAGTTGATCTGACCGTTCTGTACACTGTGACTCAAGGTTGCTGTGGTTGATTTCAGGTTGGATATCATGGAGCACTCAGCCTGCAACCATCTTAATAGAACTATGATTCATCAAATGAAACTAGGTTTGAATTTTAAACTAAAGATTTACCCGCAAGCATTATGTATATAGTGATTCATTGATTTCAGTTAGCCTTAATATACTACAGCTTTTCTTTAAAAAATGTATGCATATATCCTGCATTGGCATAACATAACAGATTCAAGTTTTAGAAGTTTTACATTTTTACGGAATATTTGGATAGCATTTCTTCAAAAAAAATACCACCAACAACACTGGTAGTATTTTGTACCACAGTTTTTCTTGTCATTAGTTTGGAAACCATTTCTTTTGTATTATTCCCCACAATATCAACATCTTACAAAAGAAAATATATTCATACTATTTTTGTAAAGTTTGATTCTTTTAAAACAAAATGGTCCTCTAAAAATATTACAAAAAATTAAAAGCTTTTTTTCCCCCTTTTATTTAAAGGTTCATGTAAAATTTGGACCTCTAAACAAGTTTCCTATAGCTAAAAAATGGCCATTTGGATAGTAAAGGTTGCAGAGCCTGGTTCGAACATATTGAGTGACCCTCATGCTGTTAAGTTACTAAAATGTATTCCTCACTTTGAGAAATCTGGATGTGTATTATCTGACCCTGAAAAATGTTAAATTAGTTGATACATTTGATGTTAAATGCTCTCAAATATGCCTTGAAAGTAATAAAGTTACCTACAAACTTTCAGAAATCTTATATTTTCCCCATTTTCATATTTTAATACTTATTTCCTGCTGTAGTCTTATTTTCAAAGAAGCTTTTGTCTGTTAAGCCTTCATATAAAGTCACAATGGCCTCAAGGCCTCTGCTTTTCCTTCAGAAACTTTTTAACATTATGCTTGCTAAATGTGGAGGCTGAGTTAAAGGTTTGATGTTTCTTTGCGATTCTTCTGAACCTTTGGGGTTATTTCTGAAAACACTGGTTCCTGTATTTAATATTCAACATTGTGAATATGCATTATCTGTGTTAAACAATGGACTTTGAACTGTTTTGAAATTATCTGATCATCCTTTAATGAATGAAGGCCTGAAACTGTTTGTTCTTCCAGTTTATCCCTACTATTTTTTCCTTGTCTTAGGCTAAGTGGTGAAGCACAGCAAACTCTGTAATTATTTATCAAGTTCCTTTATTTTGCATCACTTGTGTACAAATTCTTATAATTTGTGGAGAAGTCAGCAGCTTTTTTTGGCTTAGTTTGTTTAGTTGAATTATGAAGCATTTGTCTTGAACATCTGATAAATTATTATTCTTCATGTTGGCCTTTCAGTCTCGCGCTCGGCAAGAGGATCCAGAGCAGCTGCGTCTGAAATTGAAAGCGAAAGAGGTAGGAGGAGAGCTTGATTCTATTGTGTAGGTCTCTCCATCACATTTACACTCTATATACGACTGATTCAGTTTTGGGTGTGTGTGTGTGTTGTCCAGATGCAGATGCAGGAGCTGGCTCAGATGAGACAGAGAGAAGCCAACCTCACCGCCTTGGCAGCCATCGGGCCCAGGAAAAAGAGAAAGAATCTGGACTCTCCATCCTCATCTGCTTCAGCTGAGGTAACAATGAAGACAATAATTAATGTTTGCACAATTTGTGCCCGTGCACCTGCAGCAGCCATGGCCAGATACATCGTGTTTCTTGGTCATCTTCATGTCCCTTGGTATATTTTTCCATCTGTTTCATTTTCATTAGCAAACATCAGAGGAAAACTGAGGAAGATTAGCCTGTGAATTTTCTATCATTACATTAACAGCCTAATTCAGAAACGGGAAGAGAGTGGACTGATAGCTGCTACTTACTCGGCTTCAATAGTACTTATAAAACTGTAATTTTTTTTTTTTACTGATTAAATGACGAATATAGGCTGTTAATTTAAAGAATGATGAATGATTAGATTCCATTTGTGAACTGTTTTGAAAAGCAACGTGTGGTATGTGTGTATGTTTTCATCCCCCTGAAACTCCTTTCCTTGCTGTAATGGCAGCAAGGTTGGGGTGCAATGCTTCTAGTCTTTTACATCTAGAGCTATTTTTACCAATTTTTCTTTTTGCAAATTGATGTAACTTCAGTATGTTTGGATGAAGGTTTGGGGTTTTCCTTCAGGAATATCTGCTCCAGTCTCTGGTCTTTGCTGCCAGAATAACCCTGTCATCTGGCTCTTTCAATCCTCCCATCAAAGCAACCTCTGCCCCTTCTCTAAAAGCATTCCTTCTGCATCATGCTGCCACCGCCATGCTTAACAGCAGGGATGGTTTGTTCTGGGGTATGTGCAGTTGGGTTTTTCTATCACATAGGTTTCATATATTTAAGCCAAAAGTTAAAATTCGTTTTCATCTTTTACATATCTAGAGTGTCCTGATGGCTTAAACCGAACTACAAACAAAACTTTGTTTAAACAGGCTTTTCCAAAAGGCCTCCAGAGTCTGATTAATGCTCCTCTCTCTTAGCTTGTCAAATTAGAAATGCAGCCAGGTTTGGGTGCATTTGCAGCTTTACCACATGCTCTTTTATTTTCAGAAGATAGAATAGACATTTTTCCAAGGTCTCTCTCCCTAAACTGTCTGCTATGTTCCTTGGTCTTAATGACGCAGCTTGTTCTCTAATGATCTCTGACAAACAAGTATGGCCTTTGCAGAACAGCTGGTTAAACACACCGAGATTGGCTCTACTAATTAGGTGGCTTCAGATGACAGTTGCCTATTCTCAGTTTTATGCAGGGATCTCAGAATAGATGGCACTAAATACATAGCCCACTTTAAGGTTAGTAATTTGTAAAACAAAACCGAAAACCATCTAGGATTTTATTTTTAAACCATTTGCGACCATACACTTTTTTTGTGTCCACTTTTAATGAAACGTGAACTTTCATGGTGTGAACGGGAGTTGGAGTCACTGAATATGTTTACAACCCTAAACCTTAATAATAAAAAAGAGAGTTTAAAAAGATCTTTGTTTTATTAAGGGTTATTAAGATTAGCATTAAGAGTCCAGATTGCTCCTTAGAAATTGTATTAGTGATTGAAGGCTGAATTTGTCAGCTGTCAGTGGTGTTCCTCACCAACTGCTGCCAGTCATATGTGCAGAGAAACCTGCAGGATAACACCTCATATTAGACCAAGCTGATTCATGTAAACATAGATCACATTAAAACAAGTTGGATTCTCTTTAGTCCAATGAAATTAGACATTCATCTTAGATGGCCATCCTTTACTCCTCTGGCTATTCTAATGGTCATCTTTAAGAGAAAATCCTTTATTAGCCATTATAGAGAATCTTAAGTATTTTTTTTTAGATTCATTTACTTTTATATATTAATTTCAGTTTGTATTTATTTATTCACAAAATGTGATTTTTTTTAAGGTGCTTTAAAGGGAACTTAATCAGATCCTACAGTAAGACTGACTTTCCAGGATGTGCTTCTCCTGGATCAGGATGGGGCAACATTTGCCAACCTAATCTCTCATTTTGGGTCCATTTACCACAGTCTCTATGAGCTCCCCTGCTCATCACTGATCAGTGTAATCTGCTTGTTTTTGGCCTGTGGGTGGAATGTGGAGGAGAAGCGTGTTCAGAAGAACATGGAGGCTTTAAGTCAATGAAAGATCCAGCCATATGGAGTTGTGTGTGCAACCAGCTCAGCTTGCTCTGTTGCCCAGCAGTATTCGTTCTCTGTAACAACTATGACCTTTATTGTTGGGGCACACACTTTGACATGCCTGGAGATAGTTTTTATACTTCTTGATGTTTGTTGCATTTTGACACTTTTCAACGAAGAACTTGAGCGTTCATTATTGGAGTTTGCCGATCTATCAGCTAAATTCTTTTTAAATAAGATTAATGTAGTGTTTTTTTTTATTTTATTTGTTTTATTCTATGCTACACTTATATATTTTTCTGGTCACTTTAATAATTGAGCACAGTTCGTTTTTTCTTTTGATCTGTTCTCCATGTTGGAGGTGATGTCCATATCTCCCCTTAATATTCAAACTACCCAGTGACATTGCTCTGATTCAGCTGCAGCTGTGGTGAAGCGGCTATGCCACAGAGCAGCAATGCTGCATTTCATCGGTTAGAGAAGCACCTTTCTGACCATCAGCTGGTTCGGCTAAACCTGGTCCCTTCACCTCTACTTTCAAAGCTGGCTCTCTGTCTGCTGGCAGGGTCTGCAGAAGGCGAGGTTCACATTTTCTCATGTTTACATGGAAATAGGGCAGTAAATGTGTTTAAAAATACTGCAGCTTTTAGTCCCATTAAGAGTCAGTTTATCTGCCTAAATTTTTAGTATAATTTTGACATTTTTCAGCATAACCACCGTTTGTCCCAAAATGCACCGAACAGAGCCCTGGTTTGATGTCAGTCCAACACTAAGAGGTCCTAATGGAAGTGGAAGGACAGTGATTGATGAATCCCAACTGTTTTTACAATAAACATAGTAAAAGTGTGCTGTACTGTTATATTTACTGGCTCCATTAAGATAACCCTAAATTAATTTACCTTTTAATGTCTCCTTATTGGTAAATTCAGTCCAGCTGTTAGTTTAGTTTATTGTGACCGTTCTGTAAAGGCCTTAGAGGTTTGGTAAAACTTAAGTAAACACAAAGTATAAATACCAAGAGGCACAGCAGGCAGGGGTTAGTTATATAAATGGAGCCAATATCCAATCCAGGTAGTGGATTGGTGCATCTCTACTTCTAACTAAACGGTCAGCAAGGATAGGAGTTGGTTTATCAGGGAAGTAGGGGAGCAGTCAATGGTTACTTTGGAAGAGCTGGAGAAAGCACCAGGTAATATAGGAAAATCTGTTCACAGAACAAGTACTAATCATACACTTCACAAATATAATGTTTTTGGTAGAGGAACAAGAAGAAATATCTTGTTGAAGGAAAAAGAAGTCATGGGTTGAAGTTTGCATAAGGCCAGTATAGACAGTATACATATAATGGAAGGGGCTCTGGTCATATGAGATTTACATAGAAGTTTTTGGTCTAAATGGACAATCACATGTTACAGAATATCCACTGTGAAACATTTTGGCAGCTGCATTATTCCTTAAGGGTTTCTTCACCAGGGACACTAGAGGCTGTTCAGAGCAATCTTTGAGGAAAATCTGTTGCAGGCTGCAAAGAAAAATAGACCAGAGTGGAGGTTTATTCTCCAATAGAAAGTCCTAGAGGCAGAGCTAAACTAAAGGGGTTTGAATCCAAGCATGTGGTGGAATTGCCCAGTCAAACTTCACACCCAAGTTTAATAGAAAATTTTTGACTGGACTTGAAAACAAATGTTAGAATGTAGTAGTGACCCTCCAAAAAGACATGCAGTTAAATGTAGTTATGCAAAGTGTAATAGGTATGCTAAGAGTGGCTGAAAACACACCCATGCCACATTTTTCTCTGTTTAAAACAAAAAAGAAATTAAAAAAAAGATAAAGAAAAAAAAAAATCCCTTGCATTTCCTTTGACACGCATTACCCTGTCTGTGGCTGTAACACGATATATGACATTTTAAGATGCAGTCTTCATGCTAATGGTCTCATTTTCCTTGAACTTTTCCTCATCTTTTAGGGCTCCGGAACAGGCTCTTCTCTGACTGGTGCCGCCGGTTCATCAGGCTCCAGACCCACACGGCAGCGCATCACACGTGTCAATCTCAGGGACCTGCTGTTCTGCATGGAGAATGAGAGATGTACCAGTCACTCTCATTTCCTCTACAAGGGCTTTCTCAAATAGGCTTGATGTTGGAAAAAGGAGGACAAGAGGGGAAGAGAAATGCTTGGAGAGACCAAACTCCCACTTGAAAAGATTACTTTTAGTAAAGAAGAGGAGATAATGCTTTTAAAGGTTCTTTAGATCCACCTGCTTTTATGAAATACAGTCATAGCCATACTGGAAGGCCTCTCTACCTCCCTCCTCAAGTAATGCCTCTTTTCCTTTAGTCGTTGATTAACACCCCTTTATTTACCATAACTAAACCTTTTTCAAAGTAGGTGCAAAAATCAAATATGTTTTATGAAGGTTTTATTCTGTGTGAAAAAAGATAATGTACACATGTGCACTGTATTATAGTTTGGTTTATTTTCTTATCTGTATGCAAATGCTAGAGTTGGAAGCTATGAAAATCACTGTTTTATTAGACAACCTTTGAGTTTTTCTTGGATGATCTTGTTCTAGTTTTTCTTGTTGATTCACTTTGAACTGTGTAACCTGCTGAGCTGCCTTCCTATCTATGAATAAGCCATACTTTCCTCTCATAATTAACCCTGCTGTAAGTCATGAGGCCACACTTCCCTCTCTGTCATCTACCATTAGCTTGCAGCATATTTAAATTTGTCATATTTATTTACTAAAATCCAAATTAAATTAATTTTTAGCTATTTATTTATTGTGTGACACCTCAAGTGTGTCATTTTGCTAAAAGCTAATAGAAAATGCATTTTACTCACAGTAGGACATCTTTGAGATGGCTCTATAGATTTTGATGGCTTAGAAGTAGAACTTTGTTTTAATCTATCCTTTAAAAAAATATTTTAATATACTGATTTTTAAAACTTTTTTTTTTTTGGCTTTTAACCTCTATTGCTATACCAAAATTGCATCTTTATAAGACTCTATTTTTATAGCCTCCCAAAATACATTTTTACTTCTCTAATGGTGACTGACAGCAATGATGTCTTTGTTATGCTACTGAAAAGCCCTTTAGGTCTATAATGTGTTTGATTTAAGAAACTGGAGTTTATTCCTGTGTATTTGTAAATGTTTCATCTAAAGTTTTACACAGTTTTGTATAGAATTGAAGTTTTATGCTTACTGCATTTAGAAAATCTAAAGTTCTCTATTGAAAAGTTTGAATAAAAGATGATTTTACATATTTCTGTTCTTTTCAATTCCAGTCATGGTGTTTTTCTTCTTTTTTCCACCAGGGGGCAGCATGTTAATATGTGCCACTTTGGGGATTTGTGCATAAAGGAGCTGCATTTCAGCCTGTCCACTCATAATTTAACCTAAACCCTTAACATCTGTAAAGCCACCTGTAGTACACTACACACAGGTCTGTAAAGCACAGCACAATCAGTCGGCTCAGAATGAAATCACACAGCCTGGTTCCCTTCTGCCTGACTTTTGAGTCTTCTTGTTTAAGTCTTTCTCCATTATCACTCACTGCACACAGCACTGGCAACAGCTGTCACATCAGCTGCTAACATTCGCCATAATAAACCATTTGCTGGAAATGATGAGGCCTATTCTTCCGCTGGGAAGGCAGACTCATGGCTTAATGATTGGGAGCTGCTTTTTTGTTTGCTGTCCATGAAAAGGAATGCTACACTACCCTCAAAAGGATTTGCATCCCTTTGACTTCTTACATATTATCACATTACTATTTAACCTACATATGTAGCATGTTGGTGGGTTTTTATTTAAGATAGACCAAAACAGCTATCTAAAATGGAAGAAGTTTTTTTTTCTTGCAATCAGAAACCTGAACAGTATGGTGTGCAACTGAACTCATCCACCCAAGTAAACAGCCTGTAGAACCACTTTTTTCTGCAATTACAGCTGCAACTCTTTCTGTTACATCTTTACTACTGTAGCATTTCAAATTTAAAGTCCTGCATTTAAATAACATTTTCCACACATTAGTTTTAGCTTCTTACTTAATAAAAAAAACTTAAATTTATTGATCGTATAAAAGATATTCCCCAGGTTTACTTTTTATTCTATTTTGACCAACACAAAAGTGCTCAGCTGTGAAATGAAAGGACAGATTGCTCCTTCCATCTTTCTATAAGTGTAATGTTTCACTTAGAGGTCAAAATGTGCTTACTTTTTATATATCTCCTTCAATTGGATGCATTATCTTATATTTTGAAAGATTCCTTTCATAAAGGAGCTATATACCTGCATAGATTACAAGTTAACCCTTAGCAAAAAGTAGTATACTTGAAGTAATAGTAGTAAGTAATGAAATTAGTGAACTTTTAGTATACTTGAATGAACTGGCCACTCTGACTGTTTAGGTGAGGCATGTCTTTAAAGCTATAATAATTGTTTAATAATATTTACAATTCAAAATGATTTAGCAGTGCTCTGTGGATACTCACAGCTGGAATTTATAACAAATAACTTGGTTAAATTCTCCATAACTTTCTACCTGAGCTGCCGTTTTTTTTTTTTTTTTTTTGGCTTTTTATGGCGCTTATTGAAAACAAAAGCTTAAAAAAATTCCTTATGTTAGCTAAAAATATACCTTTAATAATAAAGCAATCTTTGTACTCTATGGCTGAATAGGACAGTTAAAATGGTTTGTGTGTTTTATGGTATGCACTCCTATCAGAGCTGAGGGAGGGAAAAACTTTTTTAGGTTAATATATCTGTACTGCCACTAGATGGCAGTATTTCATTCCCTTTATTCAGTCTATCTGTTGCCCATAGAATCTTTTAAACATTGGGTTTTAATAACAATCAAAACTTTAATTTCCATCTCTTCATCAAGCAACCAGTCTGCTTTGTGTTTTATATCATCCACCTGTGTTGTAAATAATCAACCAAGACACACCATGTTCCTGGAGAAAAGTTACATCAGGCTCTCTCAGTTGTGGGAACATCCTCAGTGAGGCCTGATGGCCTCTCACTGTGTCTCTGTTTGATGGCAGCAGGGACTCAGGTAAGGCCTCGGCCCTTGTGTCTCAGCCCAATCCAATATTTTTCCTTGTAATCCTCCCTTCCACTCCTCAGCCCTACTGCTCTTTCTGAGTTAAGTCCACATAAGCTCCCACTTGAGTGCCAGAGGCAAAGCAGCGCCAGGGATGGTGCGGTTGCTTAGCGACGCCTCAGTCGCTGTACCTGAGGGTGTTGGGTAAACACCCTGAGCCTGCCAGAGGGAAGAAGAGACGAGTGACATCCCCCCCTGCCTCCCTCTATGACATTTATTACAAAAAGGCTTTTATTAACGTCTCACACTCTGTGTTGCTGTTTCGGCTTTCACCCCAGGGTGAGATCATTAATGAGTGTCATGCGAGTTCAAGTGGGAGTGTGTGTGTGTGTGTGTGCTAATCTGTTCTCCACAGTTGTCAATTTTGTCAGATTCTGAGATGGGATTTGACTGATATGATAGTTTATCTCAGCGGGGTGTGCCTGCTGCACTTCTATGAGAAAATTCTAATCTAACACAAGCTTTCTCTATTCACTCTCCCAGGGAATCTTGTTGCAGCTTGTACTTTAACTCTGATTACGGTAGAATCCCTATAGCTTTCTAAATACTGAAATTTAGAGCCTATTTTATTGTGATGTTATCTTTGCACCCAGGGAATAAAAATAAATAAATAAATTCCAGGCCCCCATTGTATTCATGCTGTGAGACAAATGCATTGGTAGTCTGTAAATTGTTTTAGCTCTTCCAACACCTCCTTGCATAATGTTGATTAAGTTGGGGGTTTATGAATAAAACTCTGCTTGAAGGGACTGCAGGATGTGATTGAGGTGAACTGATGTGGCACAATGTGATTCAGTCAGTGCACTTTATCTTCCATTAGGATGCACAAATCCAGCAGCCTGGAACCGCTTTTATTCCTGAATGAAATTGAATGAAATCATTTGGAGCCCGCCAACATAATTAAACGCTGAAATATAAAATGTAGCAACAGTTCATTAGCTCCTGCATCCTCACGACTCCATTTCTTGTTCGTCTCTGGCCTGTTTCCCACCTGGGTTAATGTTGACTTCAGGACTCTTTTGTTATGAGGCTGACCGGAGCACACTGCTCTGGCCCCGAGATGCTATAATAAGGCTGGTGTTTATGACCGGCTGCTGAAATGGGTTTGTAAGCGCCACTGAACCTGTGAGGTATTGATACTGGGGTTAATAGCCTGTTGGCCTCTTTAATGGAGCTGATTCAGGCCAAGCAGCACACAGTGTCAGCCCAAAGGACAAGAGCATCTCCTCTTACAAAGTCATCTGTTGGATGATTCAAGGTCAGAGACCAAAATGTGTTGTGCACTAAGTGGTCCAAACTCTGTATGTTCTGCAGCTTGCATTTGACATTATTCCTGCTGAAAACATTGAGCATTTAATCACATTTATACTTGCAAAAAACCGACAGCAACAATTTTCAGTCTGAATGCATATATTAGGCAGACATAATGTAGAGCCTAATTGGGAAGTCGAACATATAATACACGGTTTTCAGAATACCGATGGAGGTCTTTACCAACTTTGCAAAGCTGTCCGAGCTGCCTCCAACTGTCCTTGTGATGTTAATTGCAGGTTCCCTCCATTGGCTGGCAGATTTATGGTAATGAACACTACAAAAACGGACACATGTTGATTTCCTGCATTTAGTCTTAGCTCCATGAATAATTTAGCCTGACAGATACAAACAGAAACATGTGTTTGTATCCTGGTTATACCATGCTAAACGTATGTAAATAATATTAGATGTCGCTAGTATTATAAAATTATTAATAATGCAAAGCCTTTCAGTATATAAATGCATTGTATATATATATATATATATATATATATATATGCAAATGCCATATATATATGTAGTGAATTTTCCAGTCATATTCCAATGGTTCATGAATAAGATGTAGACTATTTTTTAAAGACATCTGGCTGGTGACTGGCTTTATACATATAAGCCTTTTTTGATTTGTTTCATGTTGCAGACATAGTGGCTACATGCATCTTTAATGCAAAAGCAGCATGTGAAAAAGTCTCATTGAACAGCATTTCAAGTCACATTTTTATTTATGTATCACCCACTGATGTGTAATGTGCCTTGAGCTCTGCTTTATAGAGGATTACCTCTGCAAAATGAACCCCCGCTAGTTGGTTAAGATAACGGTTGCGCTGCACTTTTTTAGCATTTTGATTGATGAGCACTTTATGAGTGATCTAAAACTTGGAATGTGGTTTTAATCTCGAACATTGTTTCATACTTCTACACTGCCCTGTCTGCTGTGTTCCTTTGTTTTCCTTTGTTTTTTTTGAGTCTTCACAGAACATATGGATTTATAGACTGTTAAATAATTAGGGATATCACAGTAAATATTTGTAAAAGAATATCTAACTTTCAAAAATTTATTTCCTTCCACCTCAGGAACCCTAAGCCCATTTTCCTAGAAATTACACGCTCCAATTAAAAGTGTATCACTGCAAACACAAGGTCAATAAAAAAATAGAAATAAAAAAACTGTCTCAAATTAAAGAAAATACTTGTTAGATTTATGCACATCTGTAAATGTTAGTACATATGCTACTGATAAAGAGTAAATGAAGATGACACACAAAAAATACATTTATGTACATTTCTCCACTGTGAGATCAATAAAGTCAATCAATCAATCAATCAATCAATCAATCAATCAATCAATCAATCAATCAATCAATCAATCAATCAATCAATCAGTCAATCAAAATGTAAAAAAAATCTCACCAAAAAAAACAAACACTTTAAACATCACAGTTGGCACTATCTTCATTTTCTCATGTAAAAAGCTTTAGATTTTGTTATTTTGTTTTGTTATAAGTATAATTCAATCCAAAGATTTTGGACAAATAATACAAAATTTAACCACACACAAACATGTCTGTCAATCTTTGCTGGGCCTTTCCATTGACTTCCATTACGGCTTCATAACTAACCCTAACCCCAATCTAAACTTAATTCACACCTTTGAACTAAACACGACCCATTACCCTAGAACAGCAAATCCCCTCATGGGGTCCTGGCATCGGGCAACACAAGGACTAGCTGCCCCCCACAATGTGCTATTTTTGAAGAAAAGGAAAACCCTTTTCCTTACAAACCAAAAACCCGCTAAGCAGCTGAATTTCC